AAGACCATTCCCACTCCGATGAACACCCTCCATTCCAAAGCTCCACTCCTGAGTAGATGAACTCCCAAACTGCTTCCTTTAAATCATGCAAGTGACTCAAAATGACGCTCCTTCTTGAGCGCAAATCCAACCCAACAAAGCTCCTTCCGAGCAAACTCTATGCTCACTCTAAGCAATGCTCCTCCTAAGCAAAGCATGTCGAGGCGCGACATCTCACATTCTCTCTAACGGAGTCGATGTCCCTATTGACAATGCCCCACCGTGTAATGCTCCCCCCGAGCAAACCTTATGAGTGAAGGGAAATTGCACACACCTGGCATGAGGAAGTCGCAGCGCGACACCCCCCCTCAATCAAAGGTGTCGACACTCCCATCGACTACAACCATGCAATGCATGCCATAGCATGACATTCTTCCATCGTTGAGGAAGCAATGCTCCTATTGACCATGCATACACCAACTTTGGGATCCCTTCCCAAAGAAAACATGTCGTGGCATCACATCTCTTCTTATCTCCAAAGACGACGATGCCCTTATCCACCATGCCAACCAACCGAAGTGTGATTCACCTCTAGAAAAGGTGTGGGACAAAAGCCAACCATCCGCACCTAATGGCATCACAAGGCCCTCCTAGCCTGACATCCATCTTCCAGGCTCACTGGTAAGATGATGCCCTTGAATGCCACTCTTGGCAAGCCCTCTTGGCGAGTGCCCTCAAAGCACAAATAAAGTCCACATGCTTAACCCACAAGGCACGCTCCCCTTGGCGCAGAAGTCATCTTGACTTTACCACCACATTACATGATTGTCCTCTTCACTACGGTGATATGCATATTCACCCCAACTCCCTCCAGTCAGCATGTACTCCACACATGGTGCCATCTACACACAGGAGTTAAGACGCAAGAAAGATTTAGATTTTGATTACATTCCAAGTATCCCCATTGAGTATTGAGTATTGAAACTTGACCCATCTTGCCAAATGCATGCCCAATGCTATGTCTAGCAAGAACAACTCCCACAAGGAAGCTCCAGCTTCCATGCTACAAGTCAACTAAATGCCCACAAGTGCATCACACATGGCTCATGTCACTTCATGGCACCAAACTTGCCCTTGAGCAAGGCGCTCGCCCCAACTAAGGTCCATGTCATTCAAGGCGTCCTGTGTCAATGTCACGACCCCATCCCGCCCCTATAGGATAGTGAGGTAACTGACCAGTACCAAAGGCCTAACTCAGTGAATCAAAGAATGGACTAAGAATATGTCGGGGCTTAACAGCGGAGACATCCCCTTATTAATCCATTGAGTTCATTAGAGCAGTGCATAAGTAGATATGAAATTGACATGCAAGCCTCTTTTATATTCCAAATAATTTACATCATGTACATAGGCACAAAAGTACAAACATTACAACCATGATATACAAAACTCATACTAACCATTACAACTCAACATACTCTCCTTACAAAGGTACAAAAGTCTCAAAAAAACATAACAAAGTGAAAACTCTTCAAAACAAAACTTCCGTCTAACTCGGTTCTTTACTGCCATCACCTACATATATATAGAGAAAAAAGGCCGAGCCATGGCCCAGTGAATAATATCATAGTAAATGGGTAAATGAATGAATTCCAATCCCATTTGCGAAGTATAATATCATATCACATTTCTGAAGAACATTTGAACATCTCTCACAAGAACAATTCATATTCAAAATATAATAGCATGGTACATCCATCAGAACATAACATAGGAATAACCAGCCCGGATACCGATTAAACAACCCCTCCTCGGGTGGCACATGAGATCTCAACAACTAACGGTGCATGCAGTTGTCATCCAATGGCTAGGACTATCTAAGGATGCCATTTAATAGATTCATACAAAAAATATAGGACATTCATTCATTCCGAAGCAAAATAGAGATTTCATGAAACATGATATATCTTTGAATTACCAAACAATCTTTTTGAACATAACTTTACAAATAATATTACTCACAATGGCTCTTGTACAAGGGTACTCCACATGACCTTGACCTACAAAAACAAGAACACAAACATTGATGAAATGAAATGCGAATCGAGTAGACTATCTTAACTTCGATTTTCTTTTCGAACTATTCACACTTTAAGTCTGTTTCTAAACCTTAGTTCCATTTTAGGTCTCAAAAGAGTTTAATGAGGTTTGCTGAGTGTAATGAGGTCCGGTGATTCGAAACAAGCGAAAAGGGATGAAACCGAGCAAATGCCCTGTTGGCTGCATGTGCAGGAAGGTGCGGAAAAGCTGGCCGCAGGTGCGGTGGCCAATAGCTGCAGGTGCAGTTTGGCGCAGAATGTTTTTGGGGCTGGTGAGGGTTGGCCACATGTTCGGAAAGGCTGGCAGAGCTGGCCGCACGTGCGGTGGTGCGCAGGCAAAACGGTGCTGAAGGTGTTCTTGGTGTTTTTCAACCATTTTTCTTCATTCAAACATTCAAAACATGATATCTTAAGTTCTAAAACATGAATAATTGTTATGGGATTCATGGAAAACACTAGTATGCAAAAGAATTCAAAGTTTAAACAATCAAAACACAATTTTCTCACAAGAATTCTTCAAATCTGTTGTCTTTTCAAACTCTTTCCATTTCTTCATTTTCAAAGTCTCAAAACATGATTCTAGGGTTTCTAAAATGTGTACAAATGATGTAGAATGTATAGAAAAACATTTGTATGCAAGAAATTCCAAAGTTTAACGAATCAAAACGTGATTTTCACAAAAAATTCTCAATTCTATTTTCTTTCCTCAAACCCTCTTCCAAAACTCTATTTTCAATCTCTCAAGTGCTATCTTAAATGATTTTCTAGCTAGATCAAAACAACAACACAAGATAGAGAATAGGATTTCCTACCTTTTTGGTGAATTTCCTAGATTTCTACAAGATAAAATTGAGGTTCCTTTGAATCTTTCTTTCTTTTCTCCTCATTATGCTTTCTCCTAGCTTCTCTTTTGTTTTATACAAAGATATTAATTAACTTAAGTGTTTCACTAATTACTCCATTAGCTTAGTTAAGTGTGCTTAGTTCTAATTAACCAAGATTAGTTCTTAATCATCATTAGTCTAATTAATCTCACTTAAGCTTAATTAATCCTGCTTAACTTTTGTTAATCCCTCTTAATTTTTAATAAAGTACTCAAAAGATTCTACTTATTAGATTAAGATCATTAAGCCCCTCTTAAAACATCTAAGTGTGCAATATTCATTCAAAATCACTCCCCTAACGCTTGTTCATCAAAATGCTACACTAAGATTCTTTATTCAAGTCACTTTAGCTTCCTTATGTTTTCTTCCAAACACAATCTTTTCCAAGTTTTCCATCAAAGGCATTCCTATTCGTACTCAATATTTCTAATTTGTTCTCTAAGCTAGCATATCACCTATGCAATACAATGCAAAATTAGAGAATTCTAAGATGAATGGGTGCATGAATGCAATGCATGGCTTGGGTGTTACAGTCAGCATGACTCACACCTAACCCAACACATTGTTGCTGAACTGTGCACTAATCTAGAACCCTCAACCTAGTTGACAAGCTTTCCCTCTTTTGAATCAGGTCTCTTGTTGCCCTCGTCTCGAATAGCCATAGATGACTGAGGTTGCATATGGGACCACAATTCAAATCCTCATGCTAAACCATCCACCAAGGGTCATTGAGCACCTAAGGAGTTGCACTAGCGTGTAACATGAGCATGACAACATATGTCCATAGCCCTCAATTAGCATTCTGCCTTTCCACAAGCTCTGCACAATGTGCCTCACATGATGGCAACGCTTCATGTCATTCAAATACGCATTACGGCGTTGTCACCAAACCGCTAGCTAGTCTACATGACCCTCGTGTTCACAATTGAATCCAAGCCAATGTTCACAAGTTGGCACACAGGGCCTTGATGATGGTTGCCTCAATAGCCTAATCCATTCGGTCCAGGACGATGCAATAAGTAGCGGCATAGCGAGTGTGTGCCTGAACCTCCCGTTAGGAAATAGCACGCAGTGTTGGTACTAATGCCTCTCAATGACACTGTCCATGGGGTTCCCAAACCCACATAAAGACCAATCACAACTCTCAATAGTATGTTAGAGCTTGCCCTTAGGTTGCTCAAAGAATGCCCATTTGAAACCCGCCATAGGTTGGAGAGGCAGGCTGTAGCACACCATTCCCCCTTATAATAGCATCTTAAGCCCTTTGCAGATTAGCACAAGGAAACATCCCACATGTTTGAGGAGTCATAATAGAATAATCCAATAATTTTAATAATAGGAATTTACAGAAATGCTACCGAAGGCTTGCTTGACGCCCACCAACATGCAAGCATCGGCAGGCGGGTACGCAAAGGCGTTGGGCATGCGTTGTACTACTTGGGGCCAACTTGCCATGTTGGGGCGCCATGCCAATGACCTGAAGTCGAATTGTCAGCTCGTGACACGCTGGCTGGTGTGTGCATGCTGATGGGCTCAGGCTGATGCGCGCAGGGTGCTGGGTGGCTGGTGCACATGTGTGCGTGTGCGCACGTTGGGCTCCTGCACAGCCTTGGGGCTGGTTGGTGGTTGCTTGGCCCTTTGGTGCACTTGCAAGAGTAACTCCTTAGGCAAACTGTGAACTCTTTGGAGGGCACAAATATGTATGGCATCAAGGTGTTGGCCTTTGGAGGGCCCCGGCCAAAGTGGTGCCATCAGCAGTCAGAAGCATGCTTTTAGTGCTGGGGCTGAGTTGAGGGTGCTATGTTTGCCTACACGTTGCCAGCATACACTGGAGGGAAGCGTGCGGAAAGTTATTATTATTCCACATCACCTCACGAGGTTGACACGTTGCACCATATTCACTGGGGGCTGCCAGAATAGAGATGTAACAAATCTGAAAAAAAACACATGTACCTCTACAGTGAGCTTTTAGTAGGCATATCAGATATTGATATTGATATTGCTGTAAATGTTTTTATTTTTTGGTTTTCTGTTTCAGCTCCTCAAATATGAATAATGAAGAACAACTATCAGAATTTTGGAACCGTGATGAAGCAAGTGGCTCTGAGGAAGATATATCTGATTCTGATGGTAAATCAGTCTGGATTTTGTAACAAAGAGCATCTCTCTCTCTGTGTCTGAGACTGCTAGTTTGGTTGTGATCTGTGTAGCTTAGAACTGTAATTGTTCTGTGTTTCCCCTTCAACATCTGATTGTTCTTGCTAATTGAGTCTTTAAACTGCCAGATGCCATTGATGTTGTGAGGAGCCTAGTTCGGTCAAGCTTACCATCAAAGCCGAGACTAAATGAGAAGATTGAGTTGTTGCAGCGTGAAGAAGAGAATTATTATTGGAATAAAATTCCTGAGAAACAGGTTGATTAAGAAAATATTTTTATCTAGTATCTTCCTGGAGAACTGACAACAAGCTACGGGACTGAAGCACCAGTCACATAATTTAATGTGATAAAGAAAATTGTGGCGCATAGTGAAATTTCCATTAGACCGGATATGTGACTTGTCAAGGGTCATTTATAACGTAACAAGAGATGTGGACATGAATATGTAGGGATCAACACAACTATTCACTCAAACTTTTTAAATATCTAGAGATTATTTACTATATATCTATCCTATAAACTCTTAGGCAGTGTTTGGTTTACTGGAATGAAGTGGAATGGAATGATTAGTCCATCAAAATATTCATTCCCATGTTTGGTTAGACTAGAAAAATAATGATAAATGTATTACAAATGGAATCATTTTTCACCATTTTAAGGGAATGTTCATTCCATGAAAAAGCTGAAGGACTCACCATTCCATTCCATCTCATTCCAATGAATCAAATAGAGCATCAGTATCTAAAGAACCTGTGCCTTAAATTTTGTAACTAAAGAGAAACTTAACATCTTATAACAGTTTTTGGTGCTCTTATTTCCCCATAAAAAAATATCCATTTTATATTGTTATCATTTGTTAAGATACTTCCCTTTCAATAAGTAATGATGGGTTGTATTGCTACTCCATTATCCTTGATACACAAATTATTATGGTTAGAACTTTTGCATGTTAGATATTTTCCACTCAAATGTAGTCCCAACTAGTTTGCAATGCCTAGCTCAAAGAGCTTGGATGTTCACTCTGTTTGAAGTGTTATTGTCCATCTTTTGTGCACTTTTTAGGTTTGCCCCCTTGATAATGTGAATCTTCATTGCTGCAAGTAGTTTTAGCCACTTGGAACTTTTGCCTGCACAGCCACTAACTTCAGGTTCTTCCAAATAGAATAACAAACTCGACAAGAATGCCATATCCGAAACGCTGAGAGAGACAAGCAAGCAAAGATTATCAAATGCTCTTAAGCAAACCCAGCAGCGGCTCAGCAACTTACCGTATGCGAACTTTCTCTATCCCCATTTAACTCGTAAATTTTTTGGAATTGCATCCTTGGATTTGATTTAGTTTCTGGTAATTGACCATTTGTTTTTGCAGGATTGACTTGGAAACATCAGTCTCCTTCCTTGAAAACGAGTGCTACAAGAAATATGGTAAGACTGGGAAATCATTCTATTGTTCGCAAGTAGCAAGTACGGTGAGGTGGCTTTCAACCACAAATTCCACAGAATTAATAAATAGGCTCCGCTCTAGTACCAGTTCTATTGCTGAAAACACTAGTGTTGATGAAAATTCCTCGTCAACATCATTGGCTTTGTTGGATCAGTCTCTAATAGAAACTAGTAACGAAAAAATCCATGGCAGTGTTAGATCAGAAACTTCTTCAATTGCATTGCAAAGCAATTCCCACGATATTAGTCTACCACCAATCCCGTCTTTTTCAGAGTTTGTTAACAGCAGAAAAGCTCAGGACAAGCAATTATTGATGTCAGAAAAGAAGTCGCTGAATGGAGTTCACAAGAATCTCGTGAAGAAGATGAGACTGCAGTAGGTTAAAATTGGTCCCTGTTTTTGTTGGATGTGGTTGGTTCAATTTGATGTGTACACAGCTGAATTTATAACAAAGTTCTTAATTTACTTATGCTCTCATAAATATCCCCTTGTAGCGGTTTTTGTCTTATAGTGCTAACTTCTTCATTAGTAACACTATTTTCTAAACATGCTTGTGTTTTTTAAATTGTTGGGAAACTAGATTAATAATTAGGAAGTGGGCATCATATTGGTAAATCTGATTGTTTCCGTTGTACCCAAAAAAAAAAAAAAAAAAAAAAAATGGTGAATCTGCTTGGCTTCATCAACTAATGTGGTGGAAGTCATAGCAAGGTCACACCAGTTTTGAATTTTTTTTTGGGTAATTCACTACTTTTGAAATAATAAATACATATATAGAGAACAACTCAAAATGGACTTGAAACCCAACTTTATTAAAAAAGGCAACAGCTTGACAATCGATAGCATGAAACAATTTGAGCCTAGTACAGACATGTTGGAATGAATCTCATCATAGTAATGAAATAATTTAGGCCATGTGTGTTTGGATAGACTTGACCGGATGAGATTAGCATGTTTAGCACTATTAGACTTGAGATTATTTATCTTTTTGGATTGTGTTGGGATTATGAGGAGGAATTGATAAACTTTTTTTAATATGGTAATCTAATTAATTAGTTCGAACTTCTCCATAGTCTGCCATATGCAGGATATTATGTGTAATGATCTTGACTTTCGCACTATTTTTTTCCATAATATTTTATGAGCATAAATTACTTACTTATGTGTTTATTTGATACTTATATGTTTGTTTGTGAGATATCTGTTTAATTGTTGACTTAGAAATCGAAATTAAGGACCCTAATGGACTAGTTGGAATATTTAGCAGCATATGGTGAGTTAGATTAAAATTTGATTCGGATAAAAATAATTAGAATAATTAAGTATAATTGATTAGACTCAAGCCCACTTAATTAGTCACAACCACACTTAATTAGCCTAACACTAATCACCCTATATATATGCTTAATCAAGCTTAGAAGCTCATTTTGAACCACTTTTGAGCTGAATCTTTGAGAGCTATAGTGAGATTTCAATATCTTAGAGAGAGAGAGAGAGAGAGAAGGAGAGTTCAAGGGAGTTCAAGAGGAATTGCAGAGGATTAGCTTAGGTAACGCCTAATTCAAGTTCTAGGTATGCTCTTTGGCCATAATTCATGAAATTAATCCATATAGGATGATGAATTCATCAAATTGTAGGACCATTTGCATGTAATTGGAAGAAATGAGCATGAATCATCAAGAATGAGTGAGTTTGAGTGAATTGTGTACATGTATGCATAATTCTTTACTTTTGAACTTAGTTTCTTCAAAATTCATACATGAATGGGCCTTACTTGGGTTATATCTTGAAGTTCTTCATGGTTTTACACTCAATATTTCATATAAACATGTTTTGGAAAGAAAAGAGTTGAGTTTGTTACATGCATGTCTAGAAGCTTTGTTTTGAAGAATTGGAAAAGATTTGAGATCATGAGAGCGTTGGTTTTGAACATGAGAGCGTTGGTTTTGAACTCCAAACACAAATCTAGAAAACCCAAAATTCGCACAGTTCGCTCAAGCGAAGGAACCGTGGCTCGAGCGAACATGGATGGCATCATTTTTTTTTTTACAGACATTTGGCTGTTGGCTTGAGTGACCAAGTGTGCGCTCGAGCGAACCTACTTTTGTTCAATGCTTGGCTCAAGCAACTATCGAGCGTAAAAACCGAGCATCTAGTACTTTTGCAGTCTTTACAGACGGCTTGAGTGACCAAGTGTGCGCTCGAGCGAACCTTTTGCATATTGTTGGACCGCTCGAGCAACCTAGTGTGCGCTCGAGCGAAGGCCCTGTTTTCAGCAATTTTTGACTGGTATCGATCTAACCCACTGTGAGTAGGCCTTGTTTTCAATAATTTTTGACTAGTATCGATCTAACCCACTATGAGTAGGCCCTGTTTTCAGCAATACTTAATTCTCAATCGTAAACCCCGGTCCAGGCTTGATTTCGATCTCATCGAAAATCTTTTTAAAGAAATCATCATTCCCCTGCTTTTGTTTGATCACTTCTATGATTGTTGGCTGTGCTGAAATTGCAGTCAATAAACAATCGTGTTCATAAGGTACCACTTCCAATTCAAGCTTTTCAAATTCATGTAGAAGCTTTTTTTGATCTGTAAGCAAACAAGCTAAATTCCCCATATTCTTTCTACTTAGTGCATTGGCTACAGTATTAGCTCTCCTCGGGTGATAATGGATTTGCAGGTCACATAGTCTTTCATCAATTCAAGCCATCTCCTTTGCCGCATATTTAACTCTTTTTGGGTAAAGAGGTATTTTAAGCTCTCGTGATCTGTATATACTTTGCATTTTGCCCATATAAATAGTGGCGCTAGATTTTCAAAGCAAAGACAATAGCGGCGAGTTCTAGATCATGTGTTGGGTAGTTCTTTTTATATGGTTTCAACTGTCGGGATGTATAAGCAATCACTTTTCCATTTTGCATTAAAATATAAGCAATTACCTTGCCATTCTGCATTACAACACAACCCAACCCTCTGTAAGAAGCATCACGAAAAATTACAAATCCCAAAATACTTGATGGTAGAGTTAGGATTGGAGCTGTGGTCAGCCTTGCTTTCAACTCTTGGAATACAGATTCTCTTTGGCTTGTCCATACAAATGCCTCTCCTTTTCGAGTCAATTGTGTCAATGGCATAGCAATATTTGGATAGTCTTTGACAAATCTCCGTAAAAAGGAGTAGGCCAATCTATAATTGCTTTAATTGTATGCGGGTCAACTAAAATACCATCACTATTAATAGTATGCCCCAGAAATGTAATCTTATCTATCCATAATTCACACTTTTTAAGTTTTTCGGACAATTGTTTCTCTCTAAGTGTCTGCAGAATTATTCTCAAATGCTGTTCATGGTCATCTTTACTTCTCGAATAGATCAAGATGTCGTCAATAAATACAACAACAGAATCATCCAAGAATGGTTTAAAGACTCTATTCATCAAATCCATAAATGTTGGCAGTGCATTAGTAAATCCAAAAGGCATGACTGAAAATTCCTAATGTCCATACTTGGTTCGAAAGGCAGTTTTCTCAATGTCTTCAGCTTTGACTTTCAGCTGGTGATATCCTGATCTTAAATCAATATTTGAAAATACCCGAGCTTCCTGTAAATGGTCAAACAAATCGTCAATCCGAGGCAAATGATATTTATTTTTGATAGTTACCTTGTTGAGTTCTCGGTAATCTATACACAGTTAGAGTGTGCCATCTTTTTTCTTCACAAACAATACATGTGCACCCCATGATGATGTACTCAGCCGAATAAACCCCTTGTCAAGTAATTCTTGCAACTGAATGTTCGATTCTTTCATTTCAGTAGTAGACACGTGATATGGAGTTTTGGATATAGGTTGAGTACTCGGTACTACATCAATAGCAAATTCAATTTCTCTATCAATCAGTTGTCCTGGTAACTCTTGTGAAAACACATCAGGAAAATCTCTTACTACAGAAATGCTATCCAAGGTGATGTTCATGGTTTGATCATTTATCACACTACACAAGTACCCCTGACATCCCTTACTAATTACTTTACGGCCTTTCATAACAGATATTAAGTATGGTGGGGGAATTATACCCTTACCCTCAAAATAAAATTCATTTTGACCTGGAGGTCGAAATACCACTTGCTTAGATGCACAATCAATGGTTGCATAATACTTAAATAGCCAGTCCATAGAGGATCAATGGTTGCATAATTCATGAAATTAATCCATATAGGATGATGAATTCACCAAATTGTAAGACCATTTGCATGTAATTGGAAGAAATGAGAATGAATCATCAAAAGTGTAGTGAGATTGAGTGAATTGTGTACATGCATGCATAATTTTTTACTTTTGAACTTAGTTTCTTCAAAATTCATACATGCATGGGCCTTACTTGGGTTATATCTTGAAGTTCTATATGCTTTCACACTCAACATTTCATATAAACTTGTTTTGGAAAGAAAAGAGTTGAGTTTGTTATATGCATGTCAAGAACATGATGTTTCGAGCTTTGTTTTGAAGAATTGGAAAAGACTTGAGATCATGGTTTCATAATTTCCAAAGGTATATGTTTTATAAAGTGTTTCTAAGCTTTTGAGACCAACCATACAAGTTTTGAACATGAGAGCATTGGTTTTGAACTCCAAACAAAAATCTGGAAAACCCAGAATTCGCACAGTTCACTCGAGCGAATGAACCATGGCTTGAGCGAACATGAAAGGCATCCAGTATTTTTACAGACATTTGGCCATTGGCTCGAGCGACCAAGTGTGTGCTTGAGCGAACCCACTTTTGTTTAGCGCTTGGCTCGAGTGACTATCGAGCAATCGTCGAGCGTAAAAACTGAGCATCCAATACTTTTGTAGTCTTTACAGACGGCTTGAGCGACCAAGTGTGCGCTCGAGCGAACCCTTTGCATATTGTTGGACTACTGGAGCAACCTAGTGTGCGCTCGAGTGAAGACCCTAGTTTTAGCAATTTTTGACTAATTCTTCTATGTTCATATTTACTTCCTCATGATCATTTAGGCATTCTTAAGCCTAATTTGAACATCCTTAATCATGAAATAGGCTAGAAACACATGTAAGAGAATAATTAAGATACATTACTCGTTTTGAATATGTGCTTCAATGTGTATTGGTGTTATGTGATTTTTGTAGGTGGATGTTCGGGGCCTAGTATTGATCTAACCCACTATGAGTAATGCCTTTATAAAGCTATGTTCGAAATGTATTTGGAATTTGTTCAAAACTGGTATTTTGAATTCTATTTTGCTATTTATGAATGAATGTCCTTTTTGAAATGTATTCGTGACATCTTTTAGTGAGACCCTCACTCGGGGAAAACAATACCATGGCCTATTGATTGATAGACCCTTACTTGGGGGAAACAATACCATGGCCCATTGGCCTTCGCCTAGGGAAAACAATACCGTGGCCCATTAGATTAATTGAAACACAAAGATCACTGATGTTAGACCTTAAAGGTCCACATTGAATTATTGATTGACCCATTGGTCCCATTGGATTGACCCTAGTGGTCTTATTGG